GTTTCAAACTGCTCTCAGGCTGTGTTAAAAAGAATATTTGATACAGAGCATATATTAATTATATAATGGCAAAGTATAGAAAAAGGTGATTTTAAAATAAATCACTATGTACAAAAACTGTCCTATACAGTTTACACTGGTAAGTCTTACCAGAGCACAAATTCCAGTGGCTCTAATAAGGAACCTACATCCAATATCATACTTAATGGAGAAAAACTAAAAACTAACATAGGAACCAGATAAAAGTGTCTACTGTCTTCATTCCTATAGAATAGAGTACTTAAAGTTTTAGCTAGAGCAAAAAGACAAGAAAAGAAAATGAAAATAAATAAATATCAGGAAAAGAAGAAGCTAGGGTATTCCTATTTCCAGAGGATAGGATTCTATACATAAGAGGCCCCAAATCCTCTTAGGGCTAATAAATACTTTCCACAGAGTGCAAGTATACAAAATTAGTGAACACAGCTTTGCTATGTACTGAAAACAGACACACTGAAAAATAAAGGAAATAATCTCTTCCACAAGGGTTGAGAGGGTCCTGGGGGACTTGTAGGAGTGGTGAAAAGTGGGTTTGATTAAGACACATTATGTAAGTATGAAAATTTCAAAGGATGGAAAATAATAAAATTGTGTTTTCCACAATGGGGCAAAAAGATGAGGGGAAGAATAAGGAGAAAGAGAATGAGGAGAAGAATAAGCAGAAGGAGGAAAAGAAAGAGAAAGAAAGAAGACAAAGAGGAGGCAGCTACTGTCCCAAACATCAGTACGACTAAGTATCCAACTAAAGTTAACCATGGGTGAAGTTCCAGAGCATGGTGACTATAAAGAGAATGTTCTAAGAATCAGAGAACCCTCTTGTAGTACAAAAGTGTTCCCATCATTGTGAGCCAAAGGTACTAGAGTCCAGGACATGCACAAGGTGTAGAGACTGTCAGAAACTAAACCAAGTCATTAGGCTGCAGAAAAAGTAGGTGAAAACAGACCCCATTCACAGTCTCGCGGGAAGCTGGGATTTGTTTAAGCACAGCAGAAGCTAGAATGGCTCTGTTCAGATGAGACTATGAAAGTCACTGTAGTGGGGAACATGTGACATCATAGGACTAACCTATTTCAGTGTCACAGAATTATTTAAAATCTAGAAAGAAATATTGTACTACTATTTTGAGGAGTTGTCTCTGAAATTACCACCTCAGGATTTGGTCTTTCTCTTGATGGCAGCTACAAGCAAGACTAGGTCACTCTGTTCCTGATGCTCATTCCAAGTTGCTTTTTGTTTTTTGAGACAGGGTCTCTTTACATGGCCCTGGCTGGTCTAGAAATCACAGAGACTTGCTATCTGCTTCTGTCTCCCAAGTGCTAGGATTAAAGGTGGGCACCTGCACACCCTTCTGCTCATTCTAATTCTTAACTAGACCATGCCTCTTGAACACTGCTCTACTGCTTGGATACCTTTTCACATGAGGTGGAAGATGCTGTCATTAATAGTGATGACTAGGAAACCTTCGCCTCTGTGACCTTAATCTAGTCTCCCGCCCAAGAGTTCAGTTAAAGATGTCTGCTGAATACTAACTATGATGGACCCAACTGTCTGCTGAGGCAGCATCAACGCCTTAATAGATCATCACATGGCTATGCCCTAACATTAGCATAAACTAACAACCCTCCAAACACAGTTCTTCAAGCCTGAGTATCCTGTGCAGAATGTCCCATGTAAGAAACTTGCTTTGGTTATCAGGAAAGCTATTATGCAGCTTTGCTGAGGAGAAAATGCAGTTATGTTAGGGGCTTACAAAGCAAAGATGGTTTCTCTCTCATGTGAGTGAAAGTTCTGTCTCCACTATCCAGGGCTCTTTATCTCAGGCCTAGGGCAGAAGCCCGCAGTCTACTGGTAAGGCTTTGTGACAGAAATCAAGAAGAAAAAAAAAGCCTCTTTAAAGTGTCAGTTGGGGCGTGACCTATGTCCCATCAGATTGCAACATATGGCCCAGACTCAAGCCAATAGGGAGGGAAGAGGCAAAGTATGAATGATTTTGAACCATCTAAAATGTGAAGGAAGATATCATATGTATATTTCACTTCACAAAACGTTACTAGGAGTAAGTGAATGCACTAAATTGTTTCAAGTTTCCTGTAAAAAAGGCAGAGAAGTATATTCTGAAGGCCACATCTAGTCCTCTTCTCCATACTCCCTGGGCCATGTTATCAGCATCCGTGCCGCTCTCACTGTTTCCAGTTCCAAGCTGATCCCCAAAACTTCATGCACACGGTTTTCTCCAAGACTAAGTTCAGGGGTCATTTCTTTGCCCTGCAGAGACTGCACTAACTGCCCTTATACAGTTGTTATCTATGCATGTCTCAAGAAAAAGTGAATGGCAGATAAGAAATGATGCAAAATTGTCCTCTGGCCTCTAAATGCATGCACACACATGTCCCCACAAACATACAAATACGCATAAAAACACATACACAAAACAACATGTATATAAAAATAAAACAAAAAAGGTTGAGAGACAAGAAAGTAATACCATAAACTCCTTTCTTTAAGAGCAGAAAACTGGGTGACGACTGTATGGAGCCTTTTAAACTTTTTCTATACACCTAACATTGCTTCAAAAATACATTTTATGTATCCTTGGTTATCAATATAAGTACAGTGAACTTTAAAAAGGAAAGCAGATATAAAACTGGAAAGAAAAGGAAGAAAGCAAAGTTGAGTCTAAAATACAGCACTAAAAGACATCAAAAGAAATATGTTTGAAAGAAACAGTAATAGAATATTGACACTTTTTCTACTATGACGGACAAAAAAGGGTCAAGTGTGAAATAAAATTCTCCATGCAAATAGCATAATTAAGTTCAGATAGAAGCAGAACTCCATCTCTGTACACTTTAAAATCAACAATAATGGCTGTTCAGATGTATACAAAACAAAAGGTAATTACCAAAATTCCTGGCATTCTATCTGAATAATAAAAGAAAATCTCTGGCCTGGCAGGTGAAACAAACAAGGGAATTATAGACTTGTTAATATTCTTCCAAAATTTCCTATCTAAAGTGTTGAACACCAACAGAAACAGGCATTTGGCTAATTCATAGGCTTATGTTTCAAATATTGCATTCATTAAAATCCAATGATGAAAGAAGTTAGACATGCTGTAATCAGACTGACGACCAGTCGAATTCAGTTTTTTAAAAGGAACAGCAGTAATGCCGTTTAAAAAATTGCTTTTCACTGTCTATCCATTCACAGAAAGGTGCATAAGATACTGTGTGCTAAGTATCTTGGTGGGCAAATGCAACAATAATGAGGCACACATTGTCTTGACAGAAGTTTGATGCAGGATGCTAGCAATGGTCAGAGTTGTCACACCATATAAAACAATTACAAAAGGCTAACATTGTTAAGTATGTGAACTAGTGCTCCAAGCAAACACAGGCAAGTCTTTGCCTTGCATGTACAACCTGCCAAATGGGTATCATAAAAGTCAAGTTTTAAATGCCTGGCAAATAGCATTTACTTGTTAAATACCAACTAGCATAAAGACATTAATTTGCTGCTTGTCAAAGTGAATTGCAAATATATAGTGATATATTTAGAAATATGTAAATATTCAATGAAGTCATATTGGGAGTATTATTTATTCATTTAAAAATAATTTCTTTAAAATTTTTGAAAATGACATTTATTTATTTATTTAGTTACTTGATTTGCTTATGTATCTATATGTTTGATGGCAGGTATGGGGAGGGCAGAGCACAGTTGCAGCAATCAGTCCTCTTTTTCACCATGTGGGACAATAGCCTTTGTCCACTGAGTCATCTCACTAGCCTTATTTACTGATTTTTGAAATCTCATTTACCTAAAAAGCAACTCTGTAGAAAGTACTAAAGAGAGTGTAGAGGGAACTCATGTCTGTACTTCCCAAGTTAACATCCTTGTGAGCTGTTGACTGCCTGTCAGAGGAGACTTTCATTGAAAATGGGGGAGATTCAAGAATAAGCTACATGCCTGCTTGCCATGAACACACTAGAAAGTCTAGATATCCATCAACAAATAAATCTCCTAAATGCACATAGTCAAAGGTATTAAAATTGAAATAGCTAATGCAGTTTATGTATAATAAAGTTTGTCACTTAAGGAAAAATAGGTTTCTCAGGAAAGTCTCCTTTCTAAAATTAAGCTCAGATTGGTGCTTGCATATCCTCTCTGCATTGGCACAAGCAGAGGAAACCCACTTAAAAGGCAGGACTTGCTTTGGCCATGATTTTTGCGATTTCTGTCCAGTAGTCAGTGGGCACCTTTGTTTCTGGGCCATGATCAGGTAGAATTGCAAAGTAGAGAGGTACAAAACCAACCACTGAATGGGGTCAGAAAGTGGGGGAAGGAGAGGTCGAGGGAAAAAAGAGGGAGGGGGTAAGGAATAAAGTTGAGGACTAGAACAAGACAGTCCCCAAAGACATACCCAAGTGACCTTCCTTGAGTTGGACCCTGTAGGAGGAGAGAGCTGCTTGTTGATTCCCTGCTGCTCAAACTCGAAATAATCACACAGAAACTGTATAAACCCATTTCTATTCATCTGTGTATCACCATGAGGCTGTGGCTTACCAGGAAAAGTTCTGGTGTCTATCTCCGGTGGAGCTACATGGCTTCTCTCTGATTCTGCCCTTCTTTCCCCCAGCATTCAGTTTCATTTTCTCCACCTAGTTCTGTTCCCCTATAGCTCTGCTAAAGGCCCAAAGCAAATCCTTTATTAACCAATGATATTCACAGCATACAGAGGGGAATCCCACATCAGGACCCTACCTCCTAAAGGTTCCAGAATTTCCCAAACTAGTGCCACCACAAGCCTTCAGCACGTGAGACTTCTGGGAGACATTTCAAACAGCAACAGTTTATGTACAGCTACTTGTCATGAGTAATTTGTAAACTACATGGCGAAACACATCTTACAGAATGTTGAACAGCTAAAATCTTGGCATAATATAAAGTTTATATTTACCTCAACAATAAGTTGGTAACGTTTTCTGCCTAAGTAACTTCTCCACCACTTTTGCATAATTGTCACTAGCCTGTTCAAGTGCCTATGATGAAAATAAATGTATTAGTATGCATCCACTGGAACCAAGAAGTCTCTTCATTCTTTAAAAATGTTCTATAATTTACAATGTCAAATTCAAATTTAAGGTTCTATGTATCTTTATTTTATTTCTGTTTTATTATTTCTATTTTATCTTGTTTATTTTTCTCTCTGACATAAAATCTTGATGCCTGGTTTGCAACTCACATAGACCTGGCTTGCCTTGAACATGTGGAGCTCCTTCCCAGCTGCCTCCCAAGGACACGGATTATAGTGGCACATATCCACCATGCCTGACTCCATGTAAACTTTTTTCCTTGACCATAAATGCTTTGTTTTTTCACCGTAAGTTGAGTTCTCAATCAGAAATGGCTTTTGTCTGTGGAGTTGGCAGAAAGAATCTGATATTTTACACAAGGAGAAACAGAGGCTCATGGTTGCTCGCATTTCCTAATGGCCAACCCTATCAGGGCAGAGCTCGGACTCTCCCTGAGTGAGTTCTGTCCTTCTATGGCTAGGTTGGGGACAAATAGGTGATTTATAGGGAGCTCTTGGGTCTTGTGAGCATGCTATGCCCTATGCCCTCCAAACTGCCTTCACTGCCACAATGTACGCTCCCCAGCTGTCAGCCACAACTAAAGTTCCACATCTGGGAGCATGCTGTTACATCTAACAGTTTCACATCTGGGAATGGGGTAGTACATCTTTTCTCACCATGGACTTATCAATTTTTTGCTGCATGAGGTTGCTCTCCCTGGCCTCCTGTGACTGAAGCTCTACAATTAGTAAACTCTGATGTTTTTAAAGAATGAGAACTTACTCTTGGAGCTTGCTAATCACATACAGAAAATAGCAATAAAAAACTTTCACTCTTTCTCTTGGGCTTATAACTGAATGATATTTTAGCTTCAATTATTTTCCTTCTTTACTATTTTATTTTCATAACTCCCAGAGTATTTATGTATTGACATATGTCAAGGAAATGTTCTACCACAGACCTATAGCCTCAAGAATGAATCAGGTGTATTTTAAGATGCCCAGGCTTCTCTTGAACTCACCCTATAACCCAGGAAATCCTTGAACTTGCAGTCCCCCTGGCTTAGCCTCCCAAATACTTAGGTACAGATCTGTGTTACCAGCCACAGATAAAATACTTTAAAATTGTGTACTACACACAGATCAGTTGATAGGTTGAGAAATGACTGAGGAATTACTGATGAAAATCATGTTAAGAACTTAGAAAATTATTCTTATGTCAGCAAACATGTGCCTTGTCATTTCTCACATTCTCCAGTGTTTCTGAGGCAGCACATGAGTCAGGTAAATTCAAAGAGTGCTCTTCACGGCCATGTTTCTCTACTGCACTGAGGTAAAGCAGAGGCCTCACTTTAGATATTGGAATTTACAGCTCTGGGTAAAATAAGGAAGTATTGTGAAGTGTACTCCTCAGTCAGCTTTCGGGGTTACAATAGACCAGGCATATTCTTCCCCCAACTCACCTAGGAAAATATCTGTTCAAACATGAGATATGTCACTAGGAATTGAACTTAGGACCTTGTTCACACCAGGCAAGCACTGTACTGCTGAGCAGGCTGTACTGCCTGCCCTTCTTCAGAATCAAAGAGAACATTAAAAACATTCTTGGATCACTGAAGAAAAGCATGGGAAGAATTTAGATATAGGTAGATCCATCATTTTTTATGATTAGAATATCATCATTTTAACATCATTGATTTCATCAACCAACATGTTGAGAAAAACCAAGATTCCTCTTCCCCAGTTCCTTTCCTGCCCCATCAGTTGATTCGGTATTATAAAAGCACTTCATAAGGATTTTTTTTTGGGGGGGGATATATCTGATCAAATGTGCTTACACTATTGAGAATTGTACATATGGCAGATGTAACTTACATATTAGCAAGAAATAATTAGAAGTTTTCTGTATCAGTTTTTTCAGGGCCAACATAAATTTAATGACTTCATTACTGAGTGAAGTAAGAGGTTATCTGGAATAAATGTTACCTAAACAACCTGTGATTGTCTAAGACAGGCGCTATGGTTTGTAACTGGGGTTCTGATGGCAAGGTCTATGCACCTGATGTACGCCCGCACTCGGCATCCACGAAACCAGCTCTGGATCGTCACAGCTGCGTCATTCTCTTTCTTCCTAAACTCGTCAATGGCACTGAAACAGGTTTTCAAATTATTTCATTAGTAACTAATGCAATTCTAAGGCAAGTCAACCTGTTAACCTTAATTTTTAATTTCTCCTAAGATGGTAATTACAGCGCACATGTCATTTTAAAGAAATTAAAATACTAAATTAAGAAAAACACATTTCAAAAAATGAGCAGTTTTAAAAATTAACCTTTCTCTGTGAAGCCATGAGCTTTCAACAGCTTTGCCTATTTTATTTTTATAATCATCTGTTATGCTACTAATTAATTTGGTAGCAACTTTTATTAGGGGAATGAAAAACAATGTACTACTTTGTCAGTATTTTAAAAACATAATTATTTGAACTTATGGTTTAAATGCCACTACACATGTATCATGCTGAGTAAAATGCCTGCATATTTAACTCACTCATCAGCTAAATGTACTGCCTCTAATTCAAATGAATCTATTATAAAATACCTACTCTGGTAAGAGCCTGCCTGCGTATATTAAAAAATTCAATGAGTGAGTCACAGGCTTATAAAAAGACAAGAAACTTAATTCTTAAGTTTTACTGACTTACAATGAGAAAATGTTGAGTCAAGACATCTTATGTATCTATCCTAACTGATGTTAATATTATCTTGTCTTTCCACTGCCAACTGATAAAGTCATAGCACGATACACAGAATATACTTTTTTAGATGGTGGTTAGCTTACAGTTAGTCTCTCATCTTTGCTAAATGAACACAGTTGGTAACATGGCCACACTTATTATTGACTGTGTTCCTGTATTTGAATGACCATCCAGGTTCAGGTGGAAAGATGTGTATATGGCCTCTACAGGTTGGCCTGGGTGTCTTCCTTGATCACCTTCATCTTCTTTTTTCACAGAGTCACTGGACCTGGAGCTCATTGATTCAGATAGGTCGGCCAACAGGAACGGGGGAAAGGGTCCCACCACCAGAAGAATAGCTACAAGAAATAAAGGGCTGCTGAGAGAGGGAGAATCAGTCTTCCACAGGGATGAACTATTTAACTGGTTATCCTGTAGCCAGTGGTCAGCCCTATACACATATATATATATATGAGGAACACTAGATGAATTCAGTAGTTATTATATATTTGTGTTATTATATATTATGTGTAGTTGTATATATATAATATAGCTATTATATATTATGTGTATGTGTAACAAAAATAAAGAAAAAATCATGAATTTGAAAGGGAGTGGGGGAAAACAAGAGGTGTTAGAGGGACAGACCATTATGTAAATATAGTATACATACATGACATTTAAAAATAATTTAAAAAGACAATACACATCCTATGCATTATCTGTAGTTAAAGTGGTAATCAAGAACCATGAACTGATAGCATCCAAATGACTCTGTTCATCTGTTGGTCCTCTCCCTCTCATAGCTTTCAAATACAGTTAGAGAACACAGCTGTACACAGAAGCATATCTATGAAGACACTGCAAGGGTACCCAACAGTTAATGTACCTAAGCACTGATTACAGCTGACACAGGACATACATTGGTAAAACACAGCACTGTCATTAAGATCAAACAATAGGAGGGCAATTACATTTGACTCTGATAGATTAAAAACAAAGTAACCTTAGAATTTTTACATTATCTGTCTGCCTTCCCCAAAAGGAACAGCACACAACCACAGATCTGATAAGGTATTTCAAAAACTGGAATCAAACATATAAAACATTAAATATAGGAAATAGTAACTTTGAAAGTAACTTTGAAATAATAGATCAATGTACAAACAATATATATTCTTTTAGGATAGTTTTTTATATTCTGTAGTAAAGGCTTTTACAAAAATAAATAACAGAATAGGCAAAACATTGAATATATTCTACATTTTGTGTATCTTTGTGTGCTCATGTGTGCATTTATGTGTTTTCAGGGAAGTGTGGTTACATGTGCAAGTACATGACGAGGCCAGCGGTCAACCTCAAGGGTTGTCCTCAGGAGCCAGCTTGTTTTGGAACAGGGTTTCTCACTGTCTGGAACTCAATGAGTAGGTTAGGATGCTTGGCTAGCAAGCATCAAGAATCCCCGTCTGCTGCTGCCCCACGCTGAGATAACCAGCTGCACCACAACACATGGTATCTTTACATGGGAGTTGAGAACTGAACTCAGGTCGTTAAGACTTGATTATCTCTCCACACTTAAGATGTATTTTAAAAGTGGTCATCCAAGTCCCATCTTCATGACTGTGGTAGTGAATTTAAAAATTTGAGACAGATGGATTTAAAGTTTAAGGACAACCCAAGCTACACAGTGAGACTCTATCTCAAAAAGGAAAGGTCAGATATCTATAAGAAAGAACATATTCATGTCAATTGAGATTCTTACATTTTGTAAAGCCCTGACATCAGCTTTGTATTATTTTCATCAAGTGTTTTCTTCAGTAGAAAGTGTGCACTGTGTGGAATTGCTCCAGGTAAAGGCAGGAGAGACACAATCCCAGGATTCAGAGCTGGTGCCTATGATTCTGGCTCTAACATTGAGAGCCTCAGCCACCTCCTAAGGTCACACAATGAAGCTTAGTTGCAAACTCTGCCATTCTTGATAGCTTCTTGAGAGCAAAGGATCTCGTTGTAGGGTGTCGCCTCTAAAATTTCTTATCTAAGGATGGACTCCACAAATATTAGAAGGCATCACTTATTTAAAGACAAATAAAGGGAGGGAAGAAAGAAATGGGGAAGACAGGAAAGTAAAGGGGGCCAACAAGTTGTGTGTGGGTGCTCACAAGCAATCCCAACCTTCGAGAGGATCCTCAGGCACACAGCAAGTCTTTGGCCAGTTCAGGCTACATGACACCTATCTCAAATGGATTAACAAAATCACGACTGTGTTTCAAGATCATGAAAATCAAGTAAAGTGAGAATATTGGATTCTAAACACACGGAGTAGCTGGACAGAGCATCCTTCATGTAAATGCAATGAAGAGTGAGTTTACACCATTATTCAAACAACGCAGCATGCCAAACCTTCACTGAAGAGGTCCTGCTGTGTTTTAAGGAAATAAACATGCTGTACATCTGAGGGCAAGCCCTTGCACTTGAGCTGATACTGATGTGGCTTCTAAAACCCTGCTTAATGAAAATGCTGTGGTGAGTGTGTAGTTCCTGCATCCCCAACAGGTTCACCCTTCGCCACTGCTCCTGCTGAGACCCTACCAATCCATACCCACATCACTGAAATAATCCTGAAGGTGTTTCTGAAGAAATCCAAGACAAAGGAGGCTTTAACAAAACTTGAAAGGCCTCAGTGCCCGCCCCAGGGAAGGCCCAGACAGTGCAGTGGAACATAATTAGCTGAGCCCACACCAGCTGCAAATTCTGCAGAACACCACAGAGAATCTAGTGGGAAGGCTGGTGAACAGTATCAACCCATAGCCAGATCATAGTATTTCAGGACAGAACACCAGGTTCCTGGAGTCCAATGCTCAGCAGGTTGGGAATCAACCCAAAGCCAAATTGTAGTATTCTACAATGAAACACCAGGTTCCTGGAGTCCAGTGCTCAGCCGATTGAGGAAAGGAGATCCGAGTTGCTGAATTTAAAGTCTACCTGAATAACACAGCAATACCCCAATTCAAAAACTATTAAAGATTTTTAAAATGAATTTTGACTTCACGTGTATATTCCTGAATGCATGTACACCGTGTGAGTATAGGTACCCATGGAGGCCACATGGAGCCGGAGTTAAAGGTAGCTGTCATCTATTCAATGTGGGAGTTGCAAACCAAGCCTGGGTCCTTTGCAAGAGAATCAACTTCTCTTAACCACTGAGTTATCTCTCCAAGTTCACAAATAAATATTATCAATTTACTTATTATAATATTTTTTTTAAAATACTATCTCTGAATGTTATAGGAAAAACAAATACTAGTTGACCAATAAGTTATTCATTAATTTAAAGTTATTTACCACAAAAAAAACTGTGTTTAAGCGAGTATGCTTCTCAAAGATATACATTTATATGTTCTATGTACATGAACTTCCAAACTAATACTCCTGAAGATAACATTAATTAAAACAAGTGAAGAATTAAATACTATATTAAAGGTAAAAAAGTCACAAGTGGAAGTGATTGTTTCTGGGAAAGAACAGGAGATGACGGATTTAAATAATCATTTGACAGGTTCCCAAACAGGCCATGCTCCTAAGCACTGTGTCTAAAGAGGCAGCGCTCCTAAGCACTGTAGCTAGCATGCTCCCGGGGGAACGTCCTGTTTGCTTTAAAAAAATTCTCCGGATCAGCAGCCAGCCTGCTCTCGTAAGAACATCCCATGTACTTGAGAGAGCAGGATGTCTATGAGATAGGAAGACTGCAAGGCAGGATGTCAATAAGATAGGACATCAACAAAAAAGGTTGAATGCAAAACAGGATATCTATAAGATAGGCCAGGCATCCATGCTGAGAGAGGAAACCATTCATGCCCCCGCCTCATTCCGATCGACCGATAACCACGCTTTTGCTTCTGTAAACTTGCTTTTTGCTCTTCCCTATAAAAAGACCTCCCCCCAGTCTGCAGGCGCGCAAGTCCTCCGAAAGACTTTGCTGCCCGCAGGTACCTGTGTTTACTCAATAAACCTCTTGCTAATTGCATCCTGTGGTCTGGACTCGGAGTGTCCTGGTTCTGGGGACTTCATTGGAGGAAAAGGTCCTCTCTGAGGGTCTTTCAGTATCTAAAATGCCAGCACTGGGATTGCTCCTTAGGTGCCTCGGCATCAACACTGGAAGAAACAAGTCTCAACTGCTAGTCATCTCAAGCCTGCTCAGTTGGGAATGGCAGTGTTACCAAACAATGGCTCCCATCAGATTGAGAAGCAATACTCAGCATTAGTTCAGCCTTCACCTTTTTAAAACTAATTAGTCACAAAAGTCTTATTTCCTAAATGGTCTTTTCCTACTCTAATCTCTTATCCAATCTAGCGATTGGTTTTCTTTTTTGGAACAGGTCTGCTTCTGTAGCCCTGACCTAAAACTATGAATC